ACCTGCAATTTACAGTGATATCTGTTGGCGGTGAGGATACGTTTGCTACAAATTCCGATTTGGTGGGGTTTGTGAACTGGACAGGTCGTCACTACATCTGGTTGTTTGGCCACCAAGGCGTCTAGGAGGACGAGAAAGTTTTGGCCTAAAGAGATGGCAGAAATAAAATTTTTGGTCAAGTGGTTTGATAATGAAAAATATTTCTTCCTCTGATAGCGTTTAAGTGCCACATAAAATGACGTCCAAGTAGTGCTTGTACGGTTCCAATGTACTTATACTTAGCTCGTTCCTACACTTGTCTTCGTCAGCAATAGGCGAGCCATCGTTTAGTCCAGTAAACTGCTACTTTCTGCCGTCGACACCTACTGTGAATGGATTTTAACATGCCTGGTATAAAGTAAGATAAAAATAAGGCAGGTAAGATAAAAACCAACCGATGTCCATTAGCCTGAGTGAGCGTCAAAGTAGCGTTAAATAAATTCAAATGCTTCCCACAAAGTAACAGCCTACAATCGAGTTCATAAGTATCTCGGAAACTTCGGGTTGGTAACTCCGCTTTAATGCAGCCACTGGGTTAAGCTGCACTCAGGTGGGCCATTAAGTACTAAGCTAGAACGCAACGGTACGCACTTTCAGATGTGTGAACCTTGCGGCTTCAGACAGTTGCCCTGTGATTCAGACAAAAGCACATGCAATTTTAACCCTGGCAGCACATGTACTATTTGTTTCTTTTTACGAAAAAGAGTTTTTGGTTGGATACGCATACTGGACTTTCTTGTGCCTGAGAGAATGGCCTACATTTTAGTCATGCAATTTTTACTGTTGAAGGTAACTGTTGAGTGCTTCGGCTGATTCTAGAATAAAATTGCACCGGTTTTTTGTCGCCCGTTTCAGAGCTTTGATATGGGCTTATATCAAGAAACGCTTGAGGTAGACGAATGAATTGGTAATTGGCTGACTGGAGTTGACAAGCTTCTCTCAAAACCAGTATTCAGCCTCCAAGGAAGTCATAGCAAGATCCGGATTCTGTTTAAACAATTCCTCGGAATCGGTTGCGATGTGCAGAATGGTGAAATAAAGTCCCAATGTGACAGCTTTGAAAATGAAGCATGAAAAATTGACGGGAAGTAGACGTTTTACATTTTTGCTTGAGTTCGGTAGGAAGTCTATTTTCGTTTCTTTACGGACAAAAGTTTCTTACAATCCTGCGCGTGTTGTACCGTTTCATTCGACAACACTGCCACAATAGCGTAAGAATTTTTATTGGAGACAAAGGGAAGACTGATATTAAGGAATAATGGACTATTGCTGTGTGTTGTGATACATCGAAGTTTTTATGCAGTGTACGGTGAGTTCAACAGCATCTGAGTAGTTTTAATAAAATACATAGTTTGTATTTAAAATGAGCATCATCAAAATTATTGTCGATTGTATTTTCTGTCCAGTGACGTTATCACCTGGTAGAAACGCTCATTAACCATCTTTGAAAAGTTTGGAAAAATCAATAAGCGCATCTTACCAGCGAAATCAGGTTTTATTCCATGATTTCATGGGTTTGAAACGGAAGAATTATGAGCAGTTGAAGTGGTTGGGTGTGAGTAACCAAAGTATTAGATTTTTTAACCCCACCTAATATTTGGATGACCTGTGTTAACTTACCAAAAAAATACTGGCACTCAACCGTCTCGCTTGGAGCGGTTATCTGATCCGGAACGGCTGAACCAGTGGCTTTTTCATTAACCGTCTGTATACCACCTTTTCAAACTGCTCTTTGAAATTCGAAATTGGCCCATCAATGTATGCTATCTCAAAAAGCACAAGAGCCACCTACTAAATGAATTTTTTCCATATCATTAATAGGTGAGCTCCGTCTCTCCCTTACAAGTAAGGATGCAGTAAAGTGAACATCTCAAATAGTACCATATGCAGGATCCTATATAATACCATGCTTCGGTATTAAAAGGTATCGACGGCATCTTTCAACGTCCATACGTTGAGAAAATAAATCAGCGTCGCATCTCTGTATTGCATAAGATGTATTTTCCACCAGCTCCAACTGAAGCAGATTGAAAGAAGACATGTAATGCTAATCAATCTAGGTTTTGACGTCATCAATGCGTGCAAGCGCTTTTGTACCAACCGATGTCCTATCAGTATTATTGCATGGCGATTGCCTTATGAATGCTTATGCAAAGCCTTGGTCAAATCAAACATAGATATGCCTGAATGTCTTGCACATTGCTGAAGTAACGAATGTATCTGACTAGTTGATAAGTGAAGTGAGTCGGTGGGCTTCGAAGAGACAAACGTTTTACCTACTCAGATAGGTTGAGGAGTCACTTCATCTTGCTCAAACTCTTGTTGACATATCGTAGAGCTCACAAAAGCATCTACAGATATCCACCAATAAAACTCTTATATTGGAAGTCGATCACATGTATATTTGGAACTATATTTCAGCCCTACTTCACAAATGTCATTGCAACCATTCATAAATATGAACAAAATACCTATCCCGCAAAACCCCTAAATTGCAACCAAAAATCTGCCCAGTGGGGTTTCAAGCGTGTGCCACGCTACCTGACTGGGAAGTCCTGACTGCCGGGTCAATCGATCGTCACAACCGGGACAGTTACTGGGTCGTCGTTCGATAAGTCGGGCACACCAATCACATCGCTCAAGTGTGAACACTTTCGCCAGTTCAGATGTGATAATTCAGATGCGTCCAACGTGCGTTGGTGGAGTAGTGGTTACGCGCTCGCCTCGCATGTCAGATGTCCGGGGTTCAAATCCCGGCGCGGCCATTGAATATTCACTGCTGATGAAGTCTAATGAGAGCGAAACTCGAGTCCAGTGCTCCCTTTGGTGTGAACTCGCCGGAATAATTACGCCAGAACAGGAACACGGCCGTTCAAACGAGAGTGAACATTCATAAATAGATGTACTTGGAAGCACACGCAAACATCTTTGGTTAGCCAGATTACATTCATACACAAGATGAAGCCACATGATTTGTGGTCGTTATATGAAGCTCCTTACGTAAGCCAACTTGGAGGTGCTGTAAGTCTGGTAACCTTCAAGTTATGAGAAATTGGCAATAATTGCATTACGCGCGCACCGGATGAGGATCGCTTCCATGCAGTCATGCAGCAACAACAACTCCCTTACGTTTCAGCCAAAATGTTTGAATATAAAGAATTATGTTATGCAGCCAGGAGGATAGGCTACACTAAGCAACCTGACCATTGACCCTATCATCAGATTAATAATTATCTGGATCACTTCAACACTGACAAATTAGCTGATTTGCAGTGCTGCCGGTAAACAGAACGAGGTCAGTGGAACATTCAGATTAACGTTACTCGAAATTTTCGACGGCCGTTCAAGCAGCAGTGCTACACGTTTATCACCGATAAGGAACAAACAAGCGTTACTACTCTGAGTGCAGATCAACGAGATATTGGTCCCGTTAAAAGGCCTGTTTTGGCTTTGCAATGTACATGATACCATTTGACGCAGCGACTACCTTTTCCTCCTAGGATGGCCACCTATTAAACATTACTATATGGTGGCAGGCGTTCCTGTGCTACTTGGCCATACTGGAAAAGTGCACCTCGATCGATGTAGTTGTAAGGCGTAGTCTAGGTTCGTCCTCCCAGTGGCTTATCCGCATGCCAAGGTCCCGTGTATAACATTCTAGGAGTTAAAGTATCTGAACCTCCTGTCAGTGACTTGTTTTATGTGACGAGTGCCAATCAGTGGACCAAGGTCGTTAGCGGAGCGACTGGTCTACTTGCGCTTCAAAAGAGTATTCCTGCTACGACAGTTGGTATTCCTTCCGTGGATGTTTTGATTCCCCCGGCCGAAGTGGACATGCTACATAATTACTTTATTTTCAAACCTTACATCAGGCTTCTCCAACACTACGTGTCAAATGGACTGCTTTTATATCCTTTGTCTATAGGTAGTTGACCAAGATCTCGCAAAGCTAAACGAGCCAAGCGCCCTCACATATTTTGTCCTAAATGCTTGTTTAAATTCTCAACCGAGGATCGATGTTCCGAAATAATGGTTAACCTCGTTCCAATAGGCAAGATCAATGAAAATTGTCCCGCACATTGTTAACTCACGTTCGAGCAAAATGCGTATTTGTGCCCAATTCAAGTGGTACATATTGATTCAAAGTGACACATGGAGGTGTACGTACTAAGGAATAGTGATCTACTGACACCGAAAACCTGCCTAACCTAAGGGCTCTTATAATCAGACTTCGGTGTACGCAAGTAACAGATAGAGCAAATTATCTCGACATAAATCTCTTCTATTGACTGAAGCATTTTATTTGCTTTTGAACCTAATCTGTTTCTTGAGAGTTGAACAGCACAGTAGGCATTAGGGGGCTTATTCGGTGTGTTATTTGTGTGGGTGGCTGGGATGGAAACGAACGGTGATTAGTCATTTTATGGATAATATGAAAAATACTTTTATGGGATTGCAATGTGCATTCATGCGATTGATTACATTCCCTTGTTTGCTAAAATTCACTCTACAACGAAGCGAGAATGCCTCAGATTCACATCCACAAAGTGTAATCTAATTGAACTTAAATTCCAAACTTTTTATCCCATGACTAGCAGGTCATAAATTGGTCTGGCGTTTTGAACATTTGGACCAATCAGAAGTAAGGAATTCCGATTGGCTAACCTGGTCGCTTTTTCACGCCATCTTTCACAGGCACTGGTCGCTCACATTCATTTGTGCGACAAACAGACTTCTGCTAATGGTTTTAAGGCGAGGTTTCAGTTAATCGTTGGATGATCGCCAGTTTTGTGATGCGCCCGAGATGGAGTTCATTATTTTATCTTACTTCCGGGTCAACCGAAATTCACCACTGTGATACACTCATGTGGGCTTCCGGTGTCACTTGCTGGTGTTTTCTACTGAACCTATGGCGATTCACACATCCAGTTTGTGGCACCACTTCCCAGCCACCCTCCGAAATGATAAGTGTATCATTTAGTCTGCCAGAAGAAACCAGGATAGGTGCAAAAGTTGGCAACATTTTCCTAAATATGAACAGAAATCCACAACAACCTCTTTTTGCAAGTTCTGGACAACTGTTGGAACTGAAACCTAATCGGTACTTGATGTTGAACGGATCAACTGGGGATTTGTTCGTTCGATCGCGAATCGACCGTGAGTCCCTGTGTACGGAAATTGGCAGTTGTTGTTCGGCCCCCTCACTCATGAATGAGGAAAGTCATTCCACATCCGTATCATTACATACGCATTTACAAACCGACCATCAAATTATTTACACGAATTGTGTCATTCGTATGCTGGTTCTTCAAAGCCCAGTAAGTTCTGATATTATGGAAGTGCTTGTCTATATATTAGATATAAACGATAATGCTCCAAGTTGGCCGTACATGGTACTCGAGTTGGACGTGCCGGAACATGTGGCTCCAGGAACAGTATACAAAATTCCCGAGGCACGAGACGCGGATCAAGGTCCAGCAAACACAGTGGTCGCCTATAGGCTTTTCAGTGCAGAATATAATCGGGAGTCATCCAAACTAAAATGCCCAAGTTGCTCACAAATGGGAACAAACGATAACACCTATGTGCGAACTGCTTTCGCCTTGGACAGTCAGCTTGTTCACAGTTCATCAACAAGTGAGCTCAAATTTGATTTGCAACTTCGCGTAGAAGAAGAACTGGATCGTGAAAGACAGTCAACATACTACTACATCTTGTTCGCCGTGGATGGTAAGGAAAATTATCCCATACAGAGCAACTGGATTTCGAATCAAGGGTCCTACGATCGAAATTCTGTTAGTCAAGCTCAGTACACCGGAACCCTGACAATAAAGATAAATATCCTAGATGTGAATGATCATGCCCCAACTTTTGTTGACCCCAAACCAGTGATTATGCTCGCAGAAAATACGAAACCCGGAACTGTGATTTACCAAATGTCTGCAACAGATGTGGACACGTCGGATCAAAACAATCTGCTCTATCGAATCAGCTCACTGGCCAAACCGGAAGTTCATCGGTGTTTTCAAATCAACTCCGTGACCGGTGAGATCAGTCTAAAACAAAGGTTGAACCGCCATAACGCAAGTCTACTTTCGGTGAACCCATTTAAAGCCAAGGAACATCAAATGCCGGATTCGCTACAAAGAGGTGAATCGTCTCTTGGCTACGTGATCCCAGTGCTAGTTACGGATAAAATTCACCAAGCCGAGGCAACATTGCAAATTCAGTTGTTGCAAGTAAACATGCATGCACCGGTAATAAGCATCACGTCACATTTGAAAATGTCTCCAAACGGTGCTCATTTGTGGGTGTCGGAAGGCACACCCGTTGAATCCATCATAGCCATGATCAATATAAACGATCCAGACAAACCGTTTCAATCGGGTTCCAGGTACGGCGCGGCATATTCAAGTAAGCCCGAGTGTTTCACAAATCAGGATGAATTTTCCATCCAAAATTTAATTCCGCAGACGCTGACGGAATTTAAGCTACTGCTCATGCAACCCCTTGATAGGGAAAAGAAAGATAAATATGCTCTAAGGATTGAGTGCTGGGATGGTGGCAGTCCTCCACTGTCTTCAGAGACAACGTTGGACATCAGTGTGGACGACGTGGATGACTCTTCACCGGTTTTCGACCGTTCTTTATATACGGGTATGGTGAAAGAGACTGTTGCACCCAATACACCAATCATACAGGTCCGTGCAACGGATGCAGACATCGGGGCAAATGCTGAGATCTTCTATCGAATTGTGGGTCAGACGTTTACATCAGTGCCCTCTCCTTCTAGCATGCTGAGTTGGAATGAAGAAAAACATTTTCTGTCAATCAACTCAAAAACTGGCGAGATTTACAGTGAGATGGCTTTTGATCGAGAAATCATTAGCAGCATTAATTGTACAGTAGAGGCAGTCGGTGCCAAATATTTGGAGATGCTTTCCGGAAAACTGCTCCAGGGCCAGTCTATGGGGGAACCGTTGTCCTTCAGAGCACTGACACAAGTGGTAATCACGATTGAGGATGTGAACGACGTCAGACCGCATTTCAATACTTCGGCCTATGAGTTTTCGATAGCAGAAGGTCAACTACCACACACGAAGGTGAGTATACCTCGTGGATGTTTTCTTTGAATTATCAGCTGTTTTGACCACCTGTGTATTTGCGTTGCAAGCTCGAATTCGGTGAACGATGATTGCCACCGATAAAACAGTAACATTAGAATAAGTGGGTGGTTTATGCTGCTGGAAAGACATTGGTTTGTAATCGATAAAATCAGGTTGCCCTCCGCAGTTGCATTGATATTGAATATTTGACCAATTTGTAGGGTTGTTACTCCCAAAATCACTGACAGTCATTGAAATAGAATAAAGCACACTACTCATAAGTATGCTGAAAGCTCCTCGAGAGCCCAAGACTGGTTTTGCACTTCTTGGGCTGAGCAGGTAGGCACAGTCTCTGGGTTTCCGTCAACCTTAGGTTCTATCTGAATGCCATCGGCACAAAATTCACCAGATGTACCCACTTGCATGCCATCTTCGTTTTCACGGGTGACTTACTTGAATGCGCACAGAGGCCGCTTCATGTTTCAAAGGGATCTTGGAGATATCGCAGTATATTTTTATAGGCAAAACTATTCACAAACATGGTGAAAACTCTTCGGCACATCGGGTGGAAGGGGAGAACCCAAAACTCATGTTTCTGTTGTATTGACCTTGGCTTCAAGCGGAACCTAAAGTTGACCAAAACTCGTAGATACCTGATGAGTTCCAAGAAGGAAGAAAATGATAGTGTGCTATCAAACAATTTTTAGTAACATTTTGAGGATTGGACTCTTTCTAAACTAATTATTGCGTGATCTCGAATGTCATCCTCACTGAACCACAGGTGGCTTTTGTTAAGCACATTCACCTGAAGACTATCACAACCAAGAGAATCCGCTGGGATGCAGTTGAATCCCCCCGTAGAACTGAATTAGTTTGCAAACGAGTATTTCATGGGAAAATGAACATATTTACTTATGACACAAACACATAAATATTCGTTTATTCTGGGTTCGCCGGGTGCTGGTCACTAAAATTGCAAAAGGTGATAACACCGCATGTTTCACCACACTGTCAAAATTTATTGGCAATATGGCGAAGAATTAGTACGTCTGCTCACTAATTTACTGCGACTAGAGCTGTGGTTTCTATCCTATAAAACACTCGATGTACTTCTCCGCCCTGTTGCCTAACCATCTTCCTATTAGGCTGTGGGGGTTACCGTTCGTTAAGTTCATCATGGCCGTTCATTTGATTCTTCCGCCAAAACTTTAAGCGATACAGAACGAATACTCAGGTGTTTGATGCACGACGCATCCTCTGCCTCTTTTTCACTATGCGGAAAATGTCTGATACGAATTATTGTCGACCTTTTTATAGTGCCAAAAAAGGCTTGCAGGTCCACCAAAAGTTGTTTGTTATTATAAAATATCTCCTACGCCAAAAAGCTAAACGTATCGACGAAGGTAATTGTCCACGTTCATCTACGAGGGGATACTCGTACGGGTGCGAATGCCCTGGGGACAATTATTTTTAAACCACAGTCGGGGTATAAAGTTTGAATGCAATTGTGACCGCTAAACTTTGGTGAAAAACAGGCTAGTGAATACATGCTTTTTTGGTTAATGTCAGACCTACTTGATGGGGAAAAAACAAAATCCCCTTAGCAAGGGATCTCATACTCAGGGACACCTTGCACTCAGGAATATTTTCCAGGTCTCTGGTTAGTTGGACACGGGAATCAGGCAGGCTTGTCTGAACTAGACACGACGGTGGAATAAACATTTCCAAAAGCCCCAGTGAGTTATAGGGTTGTGGGTTTACCATCTAGTATTCTTGCGTTATTCCTCTCCTGACATGTCAACAAACTTTTAACCGAATTATTCCAAGATACCTGCATGGATTGTGTTATCCTGGTAGAACGTTGTGGAGACGGACCGCCGACTGAATAACATTCGAGCTTAAAGCACTACTGACGTGCCTGAAGCCGAAATCGCCACTTATCCCTAGCAGCGCTTTCCTCTTGAAATTTCCGCCGGTGAACTCGCACATGGCATCAGTGTTTGCGTGTGTATTTGAATTTTACCGCATCAACAGTAAAGTGGGAAGTCTTCTGTACGAGGGCTGTAACCTGAAATCTGAGGGGAAGAGACGTGTTTACGGGGCTGCAAGAACGCACTACCCTTCTTCGTTTCGAGGTATCAGAAACGGATAGGAACTTGCCGACCCAAGACTAGTCTCTGAGGTTCCTACAAACGACAATGTTGACTGGAGTTATCGTAGATATCTTATTCTCTAGTAGGCAGCATCCACGCGGAAGGGTTGAAGGAAATAAAGCTTGCCAAGAGGTGTGTCCTCTTTGTAAAGGCTGGTCTGTCCAAATGAACCAACACCGAAAGCCACAATTTCTAGCGCGTTTTTGCAACAAAACGCGGCGTGGTCAAGGGTTACATCAGGTTTTTAGCAATCAGTGGCTGGCTGTGTGATATGTCCCAGCACACTAAACTCCTGGAGCGAACAACTGTGATTTATTCAATTGAATCGTGTCTGACTTTAGTAAAGCATTACCAATAACAATTTTTTGACGACGGTTAGCACAGGGTGGCTTTTGAAGTGAAAACAAGTCCTCAGAATAAGACCTCTAACACTGAAAAATCTACCAGTTTTTGAAATAAGCATGATTATCTGATATAGATGCTATTAAAACAAATATAGTAATAGTGTTCATGCATCTCTAGGAGTCTGAACGTGTAAACGTATTGAACTTATTCTTTATAGGGTCTTCCACCTGACTGAGGCTTAGAATAAATGCACAAATTGCCCTTAAACT